TTCACATGGAGCTCGACGCTACATCCTCTACGGGTGTGCAGCGGTAGGCCCGAGCAAATGCCTCTCCTCTGTCTGCCCACAGGAGTACAGTCACACAGACGCCATCACCGCAATCACAAATCACATTCCTATGACCACATCCATGACGATAGCTCCTTAACCTCACACAGAGATACACACACACACACACACAGAGAGAGAGAGAGAGAGAGAGAGAGAGAGAGAGAGAGAGAGAGAGGAGAGAGAGAGAATAGTGATTCCGTACCTTCGTGGGGGGTCTGAGTGGCGGCCGCCTCTTCTTCTAGCTTCTCGCCGCGTAAGAAAAACTCCACAAGGTGTTGTGGGCTGCACTCAGCAGCGATGCCATATATAGGGTTCTCGCACGGATCACTCTACCGTCGAAAGGTAGTTCCGCAGTGCTGCGCCTTCTTTTTTTTTCCCACGAGAAAACAAAGGGAGGAAAACTTCTCCTCCCAAAGGCCTTTCCCTCCCTTTCTCTCCTTTCTCTTCTCTTAGGGCACGCTCACACTAGGTACCAAATCCCCATTTCCCCCAAAAAAAAGAGTTCCCGGACAGTCACACATGGTGAACATCTGCCCAAATTCTCGAAAGGGGTGACCATTTGTCAGCGGCCTGCGAAGCCGCGGGGGGAGGAAATTTGCGGTGACCTCTGGAGGTTACCGCAAATTCTCAAATCTTTTTCCGAATTATCGTGCAGTATTGGAGAAAAATGGAACTCCACGATATTAGCAGCCTATCAATTGACAAAACGAATAATTGCATTTGCCATTTGAGGTATCCACCGTGTGACAGGCACCCTCCACAACCACCTCGCAGAGTATGATGTAGCGACCTTGTCGTTAGCGTTTTGGGAACACAGTGTGACCGGCCCGCATTTCCTCAAAACGGCCGTTCCCATTTTCCCATTTTTTGGGAATTTGGGTACCTAGTGTGAGCGTGCCCTTACTCCCTCTCTCTCTTGTGACGTGCGTATTGCCGACTTGGATCTTGTGCGTACTGATTGAAGTGTTCAGTGGCGGTCGACAGAAAGGATCTCACGTCAAAGAAAAAAATATACAAAACGACCAAATCTAATAGGTTATTCTCCTCGGGCGGCGTCCCACTATCAAACAGGATTGGATTGAACACCTGAATCTGGACTTGTTTGTGGAAAGGTGCAGAAAGTCGAGATTGAACTGCTTTTCTGCATCTCTGCTTAAAACACGTCCAGCTTCGGGATATTTATCCGATCCTCTTGCTTCCGTACCATTAGATTCTCCTGTGTATAATAATTCAACTGACCAGGATTTCCGTACCATTATTATATTCTCTGACCACGCAATTAGATTCTCCGGATTTCCTACTGTGGTCTGGCCGAATGGCCGGTCGGCTTGTTCAGTTTTGTTTTTGCCAGTTTGTTTTTGCCACGTCTTTAGTGGACACTCTCTCGAGCCTGGCCGGTGATGCCAAGCCTGATGGGGGAGCCCACCTACCCTTTGTGTAAGGGACACCGGGCCCGCTTCCCGGTTTGTATAATATAAAAAATCTCGATGGTAAAAAAAAAAAAAAAAAAAAAACCGTTGCTCCTTTTTCCGAAAAAAAAAAAAAAAAAAGGATGATTTTTTATGTGGGGCTCGTCACACCACTGTCGAAAACATGATTTCCAACAGTTTCTCTTGGCCACACAGCCTGTTGAAAACTTGAGAGCTCTCTCACTGCAGGACACACTGGGGCGCCCCCGTTCACGGCGCAATGCGGTCCCGCCTTCCGTGGGACAGCCTACTGCGGTACTCAAAGTACTCAAAGTAGCAATCACGAAAAATAGCAAATGACCAAATCGTAACCACAGGAACGCCAGAAGCTGACACATCAAGGTAGAAGCAGAGAGAAGAAGAAGAAGAAGAAGAAAAAGAAAGTAATACACAGATAAAGCCAGGTGCATCCCGAACGCAACTTCAATTAAAGATAGGCATGAAAAACACAGCGACGTCGCTTGGCGTTTGACCCGACCGGTTTCGCGCGGCCGCCAAACCGCGCTTATCAGGGGTCGTGGAAGTAACGAGCTGAAGCTCGCGGACTTCTTATCTGTGTTTCGTGGAGCAAACGCCAGATGAAAAACTCGGTCCGTCGAACTAAAAATCTAGAAGGGTCTTCAAATCACTAGAAAACTACAGGGTCCTAAAAAAGATCAAACACCACTTCAACAAAGAAACMGGATTCTAGAACAGTCCAGGCCTCAATAGGTCCAACAATGACCCCTCACGAAGCTTCATCTAYCCAAAAAAAACAAAAGTCCAACCGAAAAAACCGTCCGATGATCACTAGACCCATAGTGAACCCCCAGATAGCTGCGTCCATAAAGGAAGGAAAAACAAAAAAGAAAAAGAAAAAGACAACTTCCACTGATCCACTTGTCCAAAGAGGTCCTAATACGAACTCTCAAAAAGAATTCCATCCAGTCAGGCCTGGTAGCCATTTGTCCATACCCCACCCATTCTCCGCGAAAAACTCGTAACAGCCGTATCACAAAAGTCGCCGGGGTAGCCTCTCCTCCAAAGCTCATACTTGAGGGCCAGAAGAAATTGTAATTCTTACCCCTCAATCGATGCAAAATTCCTCGCTCTATGTAAAAAAGATCCAATTACTGCCATCTTTTGCTGCCGACTTGAAAAGGAGGCGTAGTCCTGAATACATTGAAAAACTAAACTGCTACCAATGGGTACTTTCTGATTCTTAAGGGTGGGATAACAGAAAACTCCAATATCGCCAGTTCCAATTCTCAGCTCACATCTGAGGTGACTCCACGAACATCCGTCGCTGGTTCGTTCCAACACCAGATTGCTATCGTAACACCTGGAAAAATTCTCAATGATCAATTTGCCACGTTCAAGGGACCCTTCTTCCTTCAAATCGCAATGAACAAAAACAGACACATCATCAATGAGTTTGAATCCTGAGAAAAGCACCCGATCCCGTCCCAAGGTGGAGAGAAAACAAAACTCATTATAGGCACATAACAGACACGCTAACGCTGGGCTCGAGGACTTCCCCATCGGTATCCCTACCGTCTGCCGAAGGATCTTCCCAGCAGCTGAAATAAAGGTGTGTCGAAGTTCAAACAGAACGAAATTGAAAACATCACGAAACACAATCAACTTTCATCCATCCTCGTTCTTCCCAGTCAACAACTTAGTACCTTTCCCTCTCTTCTTCACAGCCACCCCCTTTACATCTTTCCTTTTCCAAAAATCAATGACCCACTCTAAAGCATTTAAAATCGACCCGTGCGGCAGATTCGAAAACATTTCTTTCACGTCGAAGGAAGCTCCAATCAAGTTCTCACCCCTGCGAATAGTCGAATTAACCTTCTTAATGGCTTCAGCCAACCCATCAGCACTTTGTAAATTAAGATTGCTTCCTCGCGGCAAACTCCATAATAAGCAATTAACCGCCCTCGAGACAACTTTTCCACCCTTGGTCGAACATTCTGGATACGAGGGGCAAATCGGTCTCCAATGTCCCACGTCCTTATGCTTAGGAATACAGTAGGCCTTACCCAAGGAACCCTTATTATCCCATCCCCCAACAATTTCCAAACTAGAATCCACGTAATCAAATCGAGTTTGCTTCAGAACTTCCCGCTCTCCCTCAGGGCAATCAACAAAGGCCGGATTGTTCAGAAACAGAGACTGCATACCTTTCCCATAGACCGTCGGACAGCATACAAACGTGTCCCCTCCACTTTTATCAATCGGGGAACAAACCAGACCGTTTAATTGTTGTCGAAAAGAGCGAACCTCATCCTCACTAAGTGAAACCGATGCAGTTCCATTTAACTCATCTAAAATCAGGCAATCTTTAAGTGCTTCTTTACTAAGCATCCCATGGTCAAACTCGGGCGATGAACTCTTAGAGAAAGCCAGTGAAATCTGACGTCTAAGTGAGCTAAATGTATCAATTCCGTTTGGCCTAGTGATGTTCCTAGAATTCTTCAGTAAGGCAGGAGCACTGTCTAGCAGATTCAAACGAAAAGCTACATGTACGTTCTGACGAGGGAATCCATAATCAGTATCCGAGCATGCACATGGAAAAGACTACTCCCGTGACAAAAAACGGAAGTTGTGTATCAACCCTCCAACCGTCCGATTTCGGGTCCACACCACCCTCAATCTTCGAATAAGCATAGCCTTCCAAGCAACACTAATATCGAGACTGGACAATATCCTAACACAGAAGGCGCACCCTGGATTTGCATATCGTATCATCATATCGAATTCGAATAATAACGCGCTTCCGTACTGACAACCCAAAATGTCGGAGAATGCAAGTTGAGAGAATATAGCGTAACCGAAACCTGGTCCGTTTTTCGGAGAAGGTCCTAATGGCACTGTAAGCATATACCAAAGTGTCGAAATCCCTAAGAGACAAAACCTTCCGACTAGATGGTTCACTCAAAAATTTGACGAGCGGTTCTTTAAAAATTAAAGATTTACGAAGAAATGGAATATTACGGTCAATACTGAACGAAATCCCTCCCTTCAACCATGCTCGAACATACCTCAATTCCATACGACCGAACTCACTCGTCACCAAACTCCCTCCATACAACCTCCTAAGCACCTTCCATCGATCGACCAACAGGTCACCGCCAGTACATTGAATCTGAACACGATAAACATTCGTGCGCTTACATTCATCCAAGAGGAAAAACAAACTCCTAGAAAATAGCCCAAAGTCAGTACGAAAACCAACCAAATCCCCATCCTTAACTTTGCCAGTATGTCCCTCATTCTCATCATACTTACATCTCCGTCGTTTTCGCCGAAGCCTCTCCCTTCTTCCCAAACGATTTCTCATATTGCGCTTAGGCTTATCAGGACTATTGAGCGCAGGACAAAACCGTCGGATAAAAAACTTCTCCACATCAACAACGTCCCTTTCCGAGCACCAATAAATGGGGATGGCAACATAATCACTAGCTCCTCTTCGTCGTAACCACCTACAGAATCTCTCATTGCGCTTCTCCTTACCTCCCAAAATACCACAAGTCCCTCGGTAAACATGTTCTGCCCATCGAGTATGCAGGTTCCTAGTAGTACTGCCAACATACACATGTTTGCACCATGGTGAAAATAACACATAAACAAGTGGTCCATTCCAAGCCCCCGTTGAGCTTTCGTCACAATTAAGGTAACACAAAACAAATGGAATAAAAAATTTTCCCCACGGTATACAATCAGAGATAAATAATAGACAAACAATCAGGCAGAGCATTCGATTAACTATCCGATTTCTCAACAACCCCGAAGAACATGATCGTAGGCAAGTTAAACTACGAACTAAAGACCAAAGGGAAGTCACGTTCGGGAGAGAAGCTAAGAGGCGGCGGTGTTAACAGCATCCTCGGTTTCATTGGCATCGGTTCCCCCTGTCGTGACCTCCACAACCGACGTTACCTTACCTTTCTCTTTGTTAGCTGCTCCGACGTCAAACATTTTATCCGCCCTTCGCCGAACGATCTCCTCCTTGGTAGGATCCAAGGTAGTGTAGGACACACCCTCATCTCTGCAAATTGCCAGAATCTCTTCCTTGTTCTTCTTTCTTAGGTTCTTCCTTTCCTGTTGCACGAAGGCATTCTGGTCGTTAATCACGATCTCAGGGGTAAGATCCCCCTTCTTCCTCGTAGATGGACATGGAGGCTTATAGATAGAAGGTCTTGCAACCTCGTCCAACCGACTGTTCAGATTAGTCCCTTTTTGATGTCTTTCCATCTCCAAACGTGCCATAGCTTCTTTGAGTCTCTCAACTTCCTTCTCTGCATCAATACGGCCCCCAGCATCTTTCAAACGCAATTCCTTCAAAGCATTGATCTCCATCTGATGTCTCTCGACAATCCCTTTAATAATTGGATCAGACCTAATCTCAGTCCTTGATAAGTTAACACCGTTTGTCATAGACCCTCCACCGGGAGTACACCTAGATCGGACTCTAGCCTGCGTCGTCGGAGTATTAATAGCGACGCTTCCACGCTTATTGCCCGGACGATGTGCCTCGGCTTTCCACAATTCCGCCGCAGCTTCATCTTCCTCCATACTTTTGAGAAGAGCAGCGATCTTCTCTTCCATCATAGCAAAGCGCCGATCGACAATCATTCTTGCCTCCTCTTGTTCACGCTTCAGTTTTTCCACAACATCAGAGTCAATAGCAGGTTTGACCACCGTTTCTACAGATACTGCCTGATCCTTGCACTTTGACAATCTCCCCACCTCCTCTCACAACTTGGCGATATCATTAGTCGCCTGGTCCCGTCGGTCTATCTTCTCACAGACTTTCTCCCACTGCTTACTTAAATCCAGACTCATCCTAGCATAGTGCTCTTCACGTTCTTGTTTTAATGTTGCCTTCATTCTTCGTCTTCACCTTCTTTCTTCTTCCGCTCAGCTTCCTCCTTTGCAGCTGCTTCCTTAGCTTCTTCGGCATCATGCTTGACCTTAATACGTCCAACAATCTCCTCAAGTGTTGCTACACGATTTCGCAGCCAAGACTTCTCATGAGATATCCCACTGGGGAAGGCAGGTGTCGCGCTTCCTATGTTAACACTATTACTCGGTCCAGTCTGAAGAGGTTGAGCTGGAACAAGCGCCAAACTGTTGTTGACTTGTCCTCCGTTAGACCTTTGTCCGGTAGCGGACAAAAACGAGAAATATGCCCTTGCTGCCCGCAATTGTAGCAGCTCCTGTTGTCAACGAACCGTCCATTTGCATGAGACGCCATCCTTAATTTGAAGCCACCCAAAGCGTAGTACGACTTCTACGCTGGTTACTACGTGCGTGAGAGTACTCAAAGTTGCAATCACGAAAAATAGCAAATGACCAAATCGTAACGACAGGAACCGTTACGCCAGAAGCTGACACATCAAGGTAGAAGAAGACAGAAGAAGAAGAAGAAAAAGAAAAAGAAAGTAATACACAGATAAAGTCAAGTGCATCCCGAATGCAACTTCAATTAAAGATAGGCATGAAAAACACAGCGACGAATCGCTTGGCGTTTCGTGCGGCCGCCAAACCGCGCTCATCAGGGGTCGTGGAAGTAACGAGTTGAAGCCCGCTGACTTCTTATCTGTGTTTCGCAAAGCAAATGCCAGATGAAAAACTCGGTCCGTCGAACTAAAAATCTAGAAGGGTCTTCAAATCACTAGAAAACTACAGGGTCCTAAAAAAGATCAAACACCACTTCAACAAAGAAACMGGATTCTAGAACAGTCCAGGCCTCAATAGGTCCAACAATGACCCCTCACGAAGCTTCATCTACCCAAACAAAACAAAAGTCCAACCGAAAAAACCGTCCGATCATCACTAGACCCATAGTGACCCCCCAGATAGACCGGTTACTACGGCAGGCCAACCTACCCGACGAAGACGATGCAAATGGGTGAAGCCCTCGTTGACTACCCAACCTGCCTGTCCTTTGACAGGCAACACGGCTATGGCCGTGCGGTTGGACGGTCAAGGGTAGCCTACTCTCAACTGTTTTGTTTGAGACTTGTTACACAATACTGGTGAGTTTCACCCTCCTGCAGGCAACGATCAAACCATTCCTCATCCCCGGGTAGGGTTCCAACACCCTCAAGAGCAGCTTCGAGTTCCTCCGCCTCCTCATCACCTGCGAGAGGCTCCTCACAAGAGGCCAGAACAAGGGATGTCGGGGGGCCGGAGGACCAGGTGTGGGTCGAGATACAGTGAGTAGTGCCGGCACTAGCGCAAGGGGGCATGGCTCGGGTGGAGTCCAAGTCCTTCCCGTTGTTGGATGCAAGAGTTTCTCAGGAAACACTAGTGGAACTCGTCAATAAGGGTTTGTCCCCCCTTCCAACGGAATGGTTCTTGAATGAGCGCAGCCAGGAATTATCTCGGATTATTGTGGACGAGGGTGTCAACGTGGTTGTCCTAGGCGGTATCAACAAAAAGTTGAACAAGTCTCGCAATCTCTTTTCCGCTCTTGTCATACAATTTTTATCAAAGAAATGGGCTTGTAGCAGTGCCGGTCCCATGAACGTGACCGACACCGGTCAGTTGAACGTGACCGCCGGTCACGAGGGCTGAATTATGTGAACGGCCTTTCACGGTGGCTGTTCACGGGGTTTCCGCCCATGTGGAGGCCGGGGACGGTCAGGATCGGGGAGGGAGGGCGGTGGTGCAGGGGCCTTCTACACCTCCGTGCCTTCAAAAAAAAAACAAAAAAAAACAGAATGGGGTGTGTATGAGAAAAATAAAATAACTCTCTCTCTCTCTCTCTCCCTCTCTCTCTCTCTCTCTCTCTCTCTCTCTCTCTCGCTCTCTCTCTCTCCAACATCTCTCTCTCTCCAACATCTCTCTCTCTCTCTCTCTCTCTCTCTCTCTCTCTCTCTCTCTCTCTCTCTCTCTCTCTCTCTCTCTCTCTCTCTCTC